TTCTCTTGGTTATCAATTCCCTGTCATTTTTGTCCTTTAAAAAAAAATCTCTTTAACTCCATAATTTCTTTAACTCCACTGCATTACAGTTATTTGTGTATGTGCCATCTTCCCTCCTAGACTACAAGTATCATCAATAAAGGAGATTTTATTCTTTTTTTATGCCCCCCTTGGTTCTAGCAAAGGGTCTTGCAAAAAGTTGGATCTTAAAAAAAAAATTGCTGAATTAATGCTAGTACTACATACCCAAATAAACAATAAAGACTTAGGGGGAAGGTCCTTGATGGTAGAGACCACATCTTATATTTCTTGCCAATTTCCCACAATGCCTACTAGAGTTTTAAATACATATGTAAGCATTAAAAAAATACTTGTTGATTTACTTCCTTTTATACAATCACTTCCTGACTCCTTTCTTGGATGTAATTTGGAATACCCATACCTATTCTTTATGGTCCAATAACATATCAAAGAATTTCTCAGACATCCTTTAAATTAGAATACTGGTTGAAGAATATCATTGACTACTGAATTTTAGAGCTATAAAGCACCTAGAGACCTAATTCAACAGAATGGAAAAAGCAGCTGGAGGCAAGCATTAGCTTCTTAAGTTAATAAAATGTGAAACTGCCCACTGACAGTCAAGAGAAGACTCTAAAGGCACAAAATAGAATTTAATTTAAAAAAAAAGTTTTATGACTTGGATTCTGCAGGAATAGGTATGCTAATGGGTAAAAAAAAAAAATCTCATTTAATTAAAGGGGAATTCACGTTGCCCCATATGGTTTTCTTCACCTCTCCTCGATAAGATCTCTAAGTGAATGAAAGGCATTAACTTGAACTATGACTTAAAACAAAAAGAGCTACAGCTTTCATTTTTTTCCCTTTCTAGATAAAGTTAATAACAATTCTCCAAGAACATATCCCACTCCCCTGTCCCAACCCCCATTGGCCTCCTCTTAACCTCAGAGGGATAGCCTTAATGCTTCTTCTATTTAGGTACTCGCTGCTGCAGACAACTAGATGGAAGATTTGTATTGGACCAGACAAATTCCAAGTTCAGGATGCCTAAATTCACTGTCATTTCCACTACAACCAGAATTCAGGAGACAATTTTCTTCCAGAGATATTTCCCCTATATTTCTTGCCCAGAATTCCCTTCAATAATAAGCCAACTCATAATGGGATAAACACTTCAATAATTGTGACTGCATAAAAACTATTTTACAAAAAGATTAAAGACTGATCAGGAATACAATTATAGGTAAAGAATGCTGATATGTACATTTCAGTTTTGTCCACCTTAGAAGTTTAAATTTCACTTGATTCTAGATCCTACTGTCTAGTCACCCTAAACTTGGTTGAAAAGAAAAGAGAATAAAATAATTACATTAATATTAATAGGGATGATAGCTGCAGTTATCTTGTTTCTAACTTGTGGTCTTTAAAAAAAAAAAGCAAAACAAAAACACAGTTAACATTAAAGAAGGGGGAATCAGGAAAAACTCAAGTAAGAAACAACATAAAAGGTGAGCTTTTTGATTTAAATTTACATTGAGCTATTTGGTTTTAATTCAAGAGTTTTAGTTTTTGCTCTTTTTACACAAGGCATTTATTTTATAGGAGCAGCTAGGTGGTGCAGCAGATAGACCACTGGGCCTGGAGTCAAGGAAGATCTAAGTTCAAATCTAGTTGTGTGACCCTAGATAAGTCACTTAATCCCTATTTGCCTCAACTCCTCATCTGTAACATGGGGACACAATGGAGAAGAAAATGATAAACCACTCCAGTATCTTTGTCAAGAAAACCTCATTGACAAAGTCCATGGGGTCACATAGAGTTAGCCATAACTGAACAGTTCAACAACAACAATTTATTTTTCACTAATATAGACACAAGAAAGATCTAAATAGTCTTTTAGGAGACTTTTTCATTCCCTAGAAATGTTACTCTAAAGTGCTTGAGAGAAGAATCAATGAATTATATCTAAGAACTATAGGAATATCAATAAAGACTTTGCCCAACCTGCATTATAATTAACATTAGCAATTATCTGACCTGAGCACGTGGTTTAATGTAGTTAGGGTCATACTAGAGCAACATGATATAGTGGGAAGAACAGCAGACCAAGTATTAAGTCCCAGGTTTTGTCACTAATGAGATGTGGGTCTCAGTTTCCTCATCTATAAAGTGATCTTTGAAGTTTCTCCCAGCTCTAAAATGCTATGATTCTATGGTTTAATTGGAGTGCTATGAAATTTTTATATATTATAAAGGAAAGAAAGATGGGACAGACTACATGATAATTTGCTTGAAGAACACTGTTAGCTATCAAGGACAATCAAAATGAAGTGTCAAGTTTAGCTATCATCAACACATGAACATAAATATTCTGTCAATCAACACAGGCCAAATGATCACTAACAAAAAGGGTAACAACTGAACCCTCAAATACCTCATATTCCATTTCCTACCTGGCTGCCCTCCCCTGGACCTCATCAATGCTCTCCATCCTACAAAATCACATCAACCTCAAAACTCACATCTCCTCAGTAACCCCTGCCCTCCCTCTGAATGGACAGGTTGGAGGGTAAACAATGGTGAGCTCCTCCCAGATCCTCCATTTAAGGAGGGCACCCAGAGCAGCCATCTTATTATTTCCCACTGCCATTCCCCTGGAGCTTCTCATGTTCCCATGTCAGTTATCCTCCTTTTTCCTCCCTCTCCTTTTCAGTTTCTTCTTATGTGTTTTCTTGCCTTTCTTATATGGTGCCCAGCACATAGTGCTTAATAAATGATTACCGACCCTACTTTTTCTGGGGTATGCATACATGCTACTTATGCAAAACTAAAGACATATATCACTTAACTCATGCTCAACTTTCATGGTTTTGGGAGTAAGGAATGGGGCATAGTAGATAGAATGCTGGCCTTGGAGTCAGGAAGAGTTGAATTCAAGTCCTAATTTAAGACACATGTTACTAGTTGTGCAACAGTAGGCAAGTCACAGTCTCTGACTGACTTATATAAATCTCTGAGACCATAAGTTACAGAGTAGCTGCTGTCATGAATGTATTTTTCTACACTAAGATTTTCCCAAATAAATAAAATCATAAGTCCTACACACACAAAAATATTTAAATGCCTAAGTGATTCTATACATAAAATCACAGAATAGTAATAATAACAGCTAACATTTATATAGCACCTACTATGTGCCATGCACTGTGCTAAGCACTTTACAAATATTATCTTATTTGATTCCTCACAACAACCCTGGTAGATAGGTGCTATTAATATCCCTGTTTTGCAGATGAGGAAACTATCAATGACCTACCCAAGGTCACACAACTAGGAAGAGTCTGAGGTCATTTTGACCTCACATCTTCCTGACTCCCGGCCCCATGCCCTAAAAGCCACTCAGCCACCTCTAAAAGGGTACATTAGTAAATAATACTCACTTACTAACCTAATGTTCACCCAGATTTATAAGACTCTCAATTAAGACTTTAACAATATAATTAATTTTAAAAATATATAACATTTTTATTTTTAAAATTATTCTTTAAAATGTTTTGGGGGGCTCCTTTGATGGATGTTTCCTTAGATTTTTAAGTACTGTAAGCCTTACACATAATTATAATTTAAACAAATCAATGACTTTATTTCTTTGCATGATAGACAGACCCCCCGACACCAAATATATATACATATACACACACACGTATACATGTGTACATATATATGCACATGTATATATGTATGTGTATATGTGAGTGTGCATATGTATGGATGTATATGTTATGTACATATACCTAACATAAAATCAGCATAGCTACTACTAATTTTGAACCTGTAGTCCTTGAACAGACAGAAAGCTACAGCTACATCTTTTCTTAAAATAAAACCAAAAGATCTATATGGCCAAAATCCCATCAAAATTCAGAATATTAATCTCTTATAAGTTCTTTACTATTTAATAGGAATAGATTAGAAAGATTTGGTGAGCTAGGCTGGGAGGAATACCCATACTGGAGAAGTAAGGACTCTCACTATTAAAAGACCAATATTTCAAAAAAAAATAAAGGAAAACAAAAACTAAATATAAATGAGCTTTATTTTCTTCCAATTTTGCTATTTTTTTATTTGATGAATTTAAAGTCCTGTTGAGCTACATCAACAAGGTTAACTTAAAAGACTAAATTTTAAATTGCTACAAAAATCAAATAGTAAAGATATCAAGTAGAACAGGAAAGTATGAACTAATAATGTAGCACTTTAATGCTACACTACTATAACTAAAACAATTTCAATATATTTATAAACGCATTAATTTAATGCCAAAATACGTATGTTCTTCATAAACCACATACCTCAATTTGGTTAAGGTAAAACTTTCCATTTGAGTATAGTCTTCCAAGGAATTTAAGATAGTCCAGATTTTCAAATTTTCAAAACATTTCCCTATTGGCTATTTCTAGGTTAAATTATGTGTCTTTTAAGTACTTATTTTTACCTGACATAGATAAATGAAAGGTAGTTTCTTACTAATAAGTATAATATAACATTAAAATATATAAATAGATTATTTTAATAACCAAAAGTGGTAGTATTTTAAAATGCCAATGAATAAACTGAAGTTAGTAATATTGATAAATATTATCCTAGACCAAAGGGATATTAAGTTGTTTTTTTTTCCAAAGGAATTAAAATTGGCTCACCAAGAAATGCCTATCCTGGACTAGAGAAAATAACACTAGCATCAATTTAAGGCAGAAGTGACATACTTTGATCATAAGAGTATTTTGTAATAGCATTTGAGAGTTAACATGGTCTGGTGGATAAAGCACTGGACTTAAGAGTCTGGCATACCTAGAAATTCTGCCTCAAACATTTACTAGCATTTCAACCTGGAAAAGTCATTTAACTTTTCTGAGATTAGGGTAAACACTGACTTTGGAGTAGAGGACCACAGTTCAAATTCTACTTCTGATGCTTACTATTTATGGGACCTGGGGAGAATTGTTTAACTTCCAAGGCCTTGGTCTTATCATCTGTAAAAAACAAAAACAAAAACAAAATAAAACAAAACAAAAAAATAAAAAAAAACAGGGACAGGTATGCTTTGCTTTCTCATTCCTAAGAAGGGAGAAATAATGTAAAAACCATTCTAGGATATATTTTCAATCTCTTTGCAAGTAGTAAACTAAAATTAAAGTTCTCCAAAGAACTTCAACATGATTCCTTTTACATCTCATCCAAAAAGTAACAATCCTAGTGCAGTAAGACACAATGAGCAGTCAGTTCATCTTGGATATAATCCACACATGCTACTGCTCACAGACTAAAGACGAGTGTAACGAAAATACTGCATCCTTACTTGTCTTATTGGCCATACAGTATTCTAATGAACTGGAAGTTTGCTGACTTGGAGTTTAAGGAAAGTAGAAATATAGCCTTTCACCAAAGGGAAAAAAAATCATATTCTCTAATAAGAAGCATAGATCCTAGTGTCTGAATATAACTTCTTAATTCTAATCACAGACTATTTAAATGACCATTTAATGACTTATTAAATGGCCTTCTTGCCTAAATTTCTTTCTTAAAAAATAAGGAAATTGCATATAAACCAAGGAAAGTAGATTCTAGGGTACTAGACTGAGTATACTCTACTTTTACACTCTACCTAACAGTTTTTTGATCACATTAACTGAAAAGAGTTTTCTTGTGTAAATAACCTCTTTTTTCCTTCTCTTTTAAAATTAAATTGGTTTTTTATTATGAACATAATTATCAACAAACAACAACAAAGAAGACTGTAGGAATCTGTGAACTTCTCTTATGTGCAGTTTTCTTTATAAGTATAAAATGATTTTAACAAGGTAGTGACTCCTACTTTTCCAACTCATCCCATCAATATTACAAATGTAATTAGCAACTAGTTAGCTACTCTAAATTTCAATTTTTGAATAAATCAATATGATCCTAAAAATGTCTGAAGATTTGGCAAGATTAAATATGAAAAATAATTTTCTTAACAAATAGAAAAGAATATGGACAGGATATGATCAAATATAACTCACAGAGATATAAATATATAGGTATAGATATGTCTGTCTAGATAGATAGCTATAAATAGCCGTTACCTTAAGAACATACTATTTTTATACCTCAATGCAATGAACCTTGATTTTTTTGGAGCCCAATTAGAGGTAAAACCCACAGTTGACCAAAATTTTTCCAATTTACTGCACTAAAAGGAAGAGAAAGCTGAGAAAATAAATTCTGAATAAAGACTTAATAAAAAGAAGAAACTTTCAAGACATGTCCTAGAATCAGTATACATTCAACCCCATTTTCTACATATAAACTATTATGCCACATCAATATTGTATCACTACAATATTAAATGATGTTTATAATGACAATCCTGAGGTAGTGCAAGAGCCTCTATCATCAAAGGATTAAATTATGTTGTACTCAACTCAGATGGCAAAGCATACGACTGATGTTTTGAAAATATTTTCAATAAATGTTGAAATAAAGATTTTTCAGCTGAACCCATCGTTAAATAATAATTTAAATTAATCAGAACATTTCATTTCTCAAGCATTCTATTTAATCAAGGTTCTACTATGCTCCAAAAGATTACTGAAATTCAATCAGATTTCTCCCTTGATCATTTTGGTTCCTGCAAGGAATATGTAGAAAAACAGAAAACTTACTCAAATTCGCAGTCACGGATTCTAGATCTGCTAACAACCCTGGAATCTGCTGGAGCTGTTCTTGTAACTCTATTAAACTTGTCCTCTTTTTCTCCCAGTGTACTGAAAGCATCACCACTTCAGTATCCACTCGCTGCAATATATAAGAGACATAGTTCATCACAAATTTTAACTATTTAAAAAACAATAGTTTCCATAGAAAAGGCTTTGTCGGTGTTGTTGTCTCTAACAATTCCTTACCAACTAAAGTTGACATCATCCTGCTCAAAAGGAAACTGACATAATTCTCTTTTGTTGAAGGGATCCTTCTTAACAGGCAGTGCAGGAAACCTCAAATTATTGCTTATTCCAAAAGAGCGCAATCAAGAGAAGAGAAATCTAATGGGTGGACCTACAAACTGCCTCCAAATGTACCCTACCTTAAGCAAACCATATATTTGGACATCTAAATTTATCCCCTCCCCAAAAGGGATAATTGGGCTTTGTTTTGTTTTGTTTTTAAACAGTGAGCTCCCCTAGCTCATTTAGAAAGTGATTGAATTTATGAAACTATATTTTACACACAACTTTTTGGAAACAGATTTACCACATGAAAGTAAAACTGAAAAAGGCTTACACTGCCACATTCCAAAGACATACTGACATGTCCTGCCCTAGGAAGTTTCTTAACTTACTGATATTTTCTGATGAGCTGATAAGGGTTCCAGACTTTCAGCACATGCAACTGTCTGCTTTAGAATCATAAGATTCTGTTTAAGCAGAATAGGTTCATGAATTTAGAGCTGGAAGGGACCTTAGAAATGATCCATCCTTCATTTTACAGATGTAGAAATCTGGGACCACAGATGCAGTGAATTGCTTGAGATCACAGAGATATTAAGCTGCAAAGCTGGGCTTTAATTCAGGTCCTCTAACACCAAATCTAGCCCTCTTTCTACTGTACAATGCCTCTTCTTTAGGCTGCTAAGGCTTTAGAATAAAGCTGGCTACTCATTTTAGGAGGATAATCTCTTAAAGGAACAATTTTTTCAAAGTAGTTTATTATATTTTTATCAACCAAAATCTACCTTCTCCCATCCTCCCCGCTGCCCCTGCTACAATAACTAAGTGAGAACACAAGAAAAACAAAACCCATTACAAATATGTGTTATCAATCAAAACAACTTTCCACATTGACCATGTCCAAAAAAGATTTGTCTTATTCTGAGTTCTTCACCTTTGAGATGGGTAACATGTTTCATTATTAGTCCTCTGGAATCATGGGGGGTAATTACAATGATAAGAGTTTAGCACAATAATATTCTATCACATTTACATATCATAATGTACACATCAATTACTCAATTTATGGGTAGCCTCTCAGATTCTTTCTTTGCCACTTCAAAAAGTTATAAATATTGTTATTTTTAAATACTGAGTTTGTTGTACTAAGGAATAATCATTCCCTTAATCTAACCTCCTTCAAATTCTCCCTTCTCCCTTTTCCCTCCTATATCCCTGCTGAATGAAATCTATTACTGTACCAGTTTAAGTGAGAGTGGGTTCAAGTGTCAATAGCTCCCTACCCTCCTCACATCCCGTTCCCACCCCCCAACCCAGCCGCCTTATTTGTGTAACCATCTGCCTGTACGATGGGATTATGTGAGATAATTTTCCCTGCCTCCCCTCCCCACCCCAGCTTATTCTTCTTCCCCTTTCTTTTCATTCATTTCTCAAGATCATCAAGACACAATAGAACTACTCCAGGCCTTGTCTAATTGAACTCCCTCTATGACCCTGATGATGATGGGATTCAGGAGGAACACATGTATCATCTCTCCATATTAGAATCACCATTTCATTCTTGTTTGTACCCTTATAATTGCTCATTCATGTTTATCTTTTCATGTTTCTCTTTGTTCCTGGGTTCGTACTTCAAAGTTTCCATGTGGCTTTGGTCTTTTCCTCAGGAGTTCTTGGAAGTCCTTCATTTCATTAAAGATACACTTTTCCTCTTGTAGGATTATAATCAATTTTGCTGAGTAAATTATTCTTTGTTGTAAGCCTATACCCTTTCATTTCATTAAAGATACATTTTTCCTCTTGTAGGATTATAATCACTTTTGCTGAGTAAATTATTCTTTGTTGTAAGCCTATACCCTTTGCCTTCTGGAATATCATATTTCAAGCTCTCAATTCTAAATCTTGTCTGATCCTGACTGTGGCTCCTTAGTCCCTGAATTCTTTTTTTTCTAACGGCAATATTTTTTCTTTAACCTTGAAAATTTTGGCTATAATGTTCCTGAGAGTTTTCATTTTCTAGTTTTGTTCTAGAGGTTACTGGTGGATTCTTTCATTTCTATTTTCCCTCTTGGTTCTAAGCAATCTTTGCAGTTTTCTTTTAAGATTTTTTGAAATATGAAGTCTAGGTTTATTTTTCGTCATGACTTTCAAAGAGTCCAATGATTCTTAAATTATTTCTCCCCAATCTGTTTTCCAGGTCAGTTATTTTTGCTATGAGATACCTTAGTTTACTTTTATTTCTCAGTCTTTTGACTTGTTTTACTATATCTTGCTATCTCTTGAAATTACTGGCTTCTATTTGGTCCATTCTCATCTTCAGGGAGTTTGTTCAGGGAGTGAGTTCAGTCAACTAACATTTAATAATGATCTACTCTATGCTAGTGCTGGGGCTCTGTGCTAAGTGATGGGTAAGGTTTTATACTTCTTTTGCCAAGCTAATTCCCTTTCCAATTCTTTTTGAATCTTTTTGCATCTTTTCTTCTAGTGCTCTCATTTCACATTTAAAAATATATTAAATTCTTGGGGGCAGTTAGATGGCACAGTGGATAGAGCACCAACTCTGGAGTCAAGGAGGACCTGAGTTCAAATCCAACCTCAGACACTTACTGGCTAGTTGTGTGACCCTGGGGAAGTCACTTACCCCCTATTTCCTCTAAATAAAATTTTTTTTTGCTTCACCTCTTCTCAGAATTCTAGTTGAACTTGTATCTAAGTTGCATTTTTCTTTGAAGCTTTCTTGTGGACATTTTGGAGTCATTCTCTTCTTATGGATTTGTATCTTAAGTGTCCCCATCACAAAAATAGATTTTTATGGTGGGATTCTTTTACTTTGTTGCTTATTCCTCCAGTCCCAGGGTCATACTCTTCACACTTCTGAACAGAATGTCTAGACTGATCCTGCTGCTATTTTCTTGAAGTATTGAATCTATTATTATTCCAGGATGTAATGAACAGCTCAGGCTGGGGACCTAAAACTTTCACTACTCCTGAAGTGGTCTGATCCAAGGTAAAGTCTGATTAATTCTTTTGTGTTCTGAGCTAGGCTCTTCAGCTGGGTTTGGGTCTAAGCAACACACCTGTGGTCTTGCCCCTGGTTGGAGTTCCACTAAATTACTACTGGATTTAGCTACTATCAGCTAGCTGGAAAGCTCTACAGAACTGCAGGTTCCTCTACTGTTTGGGATTCCTTCCTTTGTTACTGTGCTATAGTCTTCAGCATTAGCTGGAAGGTAGAACTGAGCACGCCCCCCCCCTCCCGCTTCCATTCTGCCTTACTGCCTGTGTCAGAGTGACACAATAGCTGCTTGCTTCTGAACTTGCTTCTTGCTCGGCACTCAGTTTAGGGTCTGTGACTACTCCTTACCCTATTACACTATGAGGAGATCAAATAGAAGATTGCAACTAAATTTAAATTCATTAATTTAGACTGTGGGGATAAGCAGTCTAAATTAGAGAACAGTCATAGATTTTTTTTTTTAAAGAAAAGAATTCTTATACTTTCAAGTACATTAATTGGGCTAACAAAGACACTAAGTATAGAATCTTAGGAACTGACTTTAAAAAATAATTTGTAATTCAGTGCATCATAGTAAATGTTTCTAAAGTGCTTGAAAATGGTATTCTTTCAAGTAAGTTGAACGCGATCCCTTTGTTTACATTGTTCGCTTTTTATTCACTTGAAAACATTGTTGTAAAGAGTAAGCAAAGATAAACTTCAGTGTCCAAATTAAAATAAATTCTGAATTGGTAGGTCCAAATCAATGACAGTTATTAAGTTTACACATAATGGTGGTCCTTTGAACCAGATTATCACAGATAATGTATCTAGATAAGCCAAATACTTGTCCAGAAACTTGAGGAACAAGTAAAAATTCTTTAAGCCAACAAGGACTAGTCTATATCCCAGAGAGACTTTGGAAGTTGTGAAAATGAACTTTGCTCACACAGATTTATAATAATTTATTAAATTCCATTTGAGAAATTCCATATAAGGCATTTTAGTGGAAGCATTCTACATTTAAATAAGTTCATCACTTATAAGCTAAAAAAAAACTCAGAAGAACAAATTCTCTACCTCTCCAGCACTGGCACATTCCTTTGCTCTTTTATGAAGGGCAGCCCATGTATCTTCATATCTAAGAAGAAAACAATTATCAAAGATACATATATATATATATACATATTTTAAAAGCTTAAAAAAATAGTACACAATTGCATAAATGCCTTGACAAACTACGTAAAGATTTAAATTAGTAGCATCATTCTCAGGGTAGATGTACACTTTCTGAAAGTAGCAAGGAGCTAAAGAATTTTTTCACATATTTGAAATGGAAGATAATACCAACCTGGGTAATGCAGACAGAATATATCCAGATCTACAGACTTAATGAAAAGTATAAAGCTGTCAATTATCATTTAATCTCAGCTACTCTAAGGAAACTTTAAGAGTTTAAAGAATTTTTAGATAATTCATGAACTAGATAGCTAATTGTATTGCGTAACTATAAGGCAACTAGTGGCAGAGTGCTTAGAACGTTGAACTTGGGAGTCAGTACAACCTAAGTCTGAAACCTACCTCAGGCACTTACCAACTACATGACCTGGGTAAGTCATTTAAACCTCTGTCTACCTCAATTTCCTCATCTGTAAAATAGGAATAACAACAGCACCTACTTCACAGGGTATTGTGAGAATCAAATGAGATAATAAGTGTAAAATATCTTTCAAATCTTAAAGTGCTAAATAAATGCCATGATTGTTATTAATATTATTGGTATTATTAGAAGAGATTACAGCTACATGAATCCCCAAATCCCAATACAACCCTATGGACACTTAATAAGTACTTGCTGACTATACTTATCCAATTGAAATTTAAATGAAATCTCTAGATTTTACTTTGGTATACCAGATTGTGGGTATATCTTAAAGGAGAACTAAATAAGTGCTATAACTCATTCAGGCAATGCCATAGTGGTAGAGTGGAATTCTCATTTGTAAAGAGCCTATAGTACATCTCCATGTGGCTACTCCACGAGCACCTGAAACCCAAAATGTCCAAAACCTTTCTCCCAAAACTTGTTCCTCTTTCTGACTTCTCTATTTCTGTAACTGGCCCCAATATTCACGTTATTTTTAATTCCTCCATCTCCTTAACTTCCCACATCCAATTGCTACATCCCATGACTTTACCTCAGTCATCTTTTTTACCTAAGTCCTTCCTCCGTTTTCCACAGGCATTCTCCTTGCATAAGTCGTCATTACTCTCTGCCCAGACTATTAAAAAAAGGCTCAGTCTTCTTACCTCTACTCTGTCTCTTGTCTAAACCATGTCATACAAACGTGAGATTAATATTCTATATACGCATATGATTACCAGAAGGGATTTTTAAAGGTCATCTAATCCAACTCCCTCACTTCACAGAGCAGTTAAGTGACTTTTCCAAAGTCACATGTGTATTAAGTACAACAGAACTTGAGGCCAGGTCCTCTGATTCCAAATCCAGCATTCTTTTCACTGAACCAAGCTCTAGTTATGTTACTCCTCTGCTCAAAATCCTTCAGTTGCTCCCTATATTCTACATCCTCATCAGCAGCATGAGGTCCCTTTCAGCTTTATAATCTCAAGATCTTTCCTATACCTTAAAAGGTTATTCTTTTGAATGAAAGAGAACTCATTCTCTTCTTATTCTCCCCTCAGAGAATTCTACTACTACTGATAACAGCTGCCATTTATATAACACTTTAGTTTTCAAATTGTATTATCTCCCTGGAGCCTCACAACAACACTGAGAAGTAGCTTCAACCTCATTTTATTGCCATTTTGTAGATGAGCAAACTAAGGCTCACAGAGAGTAAGTAGCTCATAGTCACACAGCTATTAAGTGACAGGCAGAATTTGAACCCAGGTCTTCCTAACTTCAAGTGCAATGCTTTTTCCACTATACCATACCACTTTGCAAGCAACTTCTGAAGTAACTACAGAAGAGGTTACCAGTTCAAACCTGTTATATTCTCAAGTATGAAAACAAGCCAGAAAATGTCACCTTTTGAAATTAAAGGCAAAATAAAATCAGTATAAAATGGATGAAATTAGCCTGCTGTAGCAGTATCTCACCCTAAGGGAGGTTTGTGTAAAATATGCTGCTGCTAAGATTTTAGTACCTCCCAAATCTCAGCAAGGGACTAGGATGACTCCCAAGTTTCCATCAAAAGACTATGATAAACTGTGCTCTAATTAATTGTCACATGTTCAAGATACTTTGTCAAAACAGAAGGGTGGCAGTCTGCATGGAGTCTTGAAAAATGCAAGCTGTAGATCAAGAATTTTTCAGTGTATCTCAAGCTCTCTGATCCTCTGTGCACAAATGCTCGTAATTTTTAGACAAAAATTTTTTCTAGAGTGGAAAAGGGCAATTAATTTACTCCAGCATTACAATGCCTTAAGATAATCTTGATTCACTGACTCAAAGTCTATGAAACAACCTTCTGAAACTAAAATTTGGTTTTTTGAGTAAACTTAAATCAGAATCAAGCACCTCGAATAGAAGTCTAATGCCAATCCTCAGGCAGCTCTAAACTTAAAAACAAAATTCTCAATTATGAATCAGCCTCTTCTGAGGTTCTTTGGTTTTCCCCTAAAGCCTGATCATTCCTGGGGACCTAAAAGAATTAAGTTTCTGAATCTATAAGGTTGAGGATCATACCCTTGACACATAAGTGTGCCCCAGAGTGAAGATATTCCCATGAGGTGCTACCTGAGCAGAGAATCAAAGGCTCTAACATCATCTTTTCAGTGAAAAGGTTTCAACTATCACACTTATTTTCTAAGTTCACATCTCTTAGCCTTGAACTTCAGTCTTGAATTTTTAGCTACTTCTTTCCCTAGAAGTCCTGCACAAGTAGAGAGATTAAGTTTATTAAAAAAACAAACAAACCAAAAAAAAAACCACCACACTCTCTGCTACCAGAGAAAAGGAGAAGAGAATGGGTGATTCTCTGGGAATAGGAGAAATTTTATGGTTTAAGGGAAAGGAGTTGATGGAGCTCCTTCCAGATGGCCTAAATTTTAGGATCCAAGGATTTAGAACTTGAACTAGTAGGTAGCCAGTTCAGCTCATAAGCAATGGGGCTAAAGTTGTTGCCTAGGGCTAAAGGAAAGAGGAACAAGAAGAGAAGTTAGAATAGGGAAGCACCTGCAAGCAGCAAACCAGACTACTCTGTTCCTGAGCTTTCCTCACTTGGTTCCTTTTCTAGGCTGTCTTAGTCAATCTTCTCCATCTTCACCTCTACTCTCATCCCTAAAAGCGAAACCAAATACCACCTCACCCATGAAGTGATTCCCCTAGTCAACAACAACCTTTTATCTGCATATGGCCAAAATAACCTTGTTTTGCCCATATCCAATGTACTCATCATGTATTATTTTATATAGCAATGATTAGTACATCACATTCCCCTCTGGTAATCTGTAAGCACTATGAGTGCCTTAGCTAAGTTCTGCATCTCCCTCAGTGCTGTACAGTAATCCATATATAACAGGGCCTTAATAAAAATGTGTTGACCTAAATCAGCCCAAACTTAGCATGTCTAAAATCAAACTTCCTTCCCCCAGTCAGCTCTTCCTTAAGTTATCTCTGTTTGTTTCAACAGAGCCATTATTTTTACCAGGCTCAAAAATCTGGAATCAGCCTAGATTCTTCTCCCACATCCAGTAATTTCCCATGAAGGGAAAAGGAGAAGTAGATGCAAAAATTGAAAGGCTAAGGATAAGTGGGTTAGAAAGTATTTTTCATGCAATTTTTTAAAGTATGGCCATAATATGTCCATACATAAACCTGTGACAAAGTAATATTGATGGCAGAAAAATTAAGACAAGAACATTACTATATTAACATCATGAAGACATTACAATGTGAAGAGTCCTGGACAGTCTCTTACTAAAAACACTATTTCTGCTGAAATCAAAAGTTTATACCAGTTACCATAGGCAACCAGGAACTAATTTATCTAATGAACCCATATCTCTGGCTTCTGGGTCACCTCCTTATGGTTCACAAATGGAAGTGATGTCAGTAGGGGCAGGAGATTTTAGTGATAATGCCTGGAAACCTGCTTGCAAGATCTGTTTCTAAGACTGAGGAAATGTGTTGGAGAGTCACCAGCAAGAAGGAAGGTAATACATATGCTCTCTCCTATCAAGAGCTAATTATGAAGACAGTAAGAACAGTTTGTAAAATATACATTTCATGGTCACTGCTCATAATACTAATTTTTCCAAGAGTTCAATAGGAAATATTACCTGAACTATAAAGAATGAAAAGAAGATATCTGTTGGGGATAAGCTAAAAGGGTAGGTAGAAGAAAGGGGACTGTTAGAAAGTCATTCTTAAAAACAAACAAGTTTTTTGAAGGTAATTTGTATATATCAAGGTTTCAAGAAAAATTACTTTAGTTTTAAAAAATACCTGTATTGGTTATTTTCAATTTCTAGATCACAGAATTTGAAGCTAAAAGAATCTTGGAAATCTTCTAATACAAATCCCTTATTTGACTGATGAGAGAACAGGCTCAGAGAGTTTAAGTGACTTGCTCAAGGCCATACAAGTAAAAAGTAGAGCTGGGATATGAACTGATATTCTCTTACTACATATCAAGTGTTCTTTCCACCACAGTATGCTATCTGTGATTTGGTGAGCAGTATAAAAGACATCATAGCCAAGTATCACTGGAAGGAGGCAAGCTAGTCATATGTCAAGAGTGACTGAAAATATGCACTGTGGGTTGAGCTATAAATTGGTACAACCAGCATGGAAAGCAATTTAGAATTATGCAAAGTGACTAAAATGTCCACAATCATTGGCTCTGAGATTCCACTGTTAGGCACGTACTCCAGGGAAGTCATTGAAAAAAAAAAAAAGGCTCCAAACAAACTAAAATATTTATAGCAGCGCTTTTCATAATAGCAAAAAGTTGGAAACAAAATAGATGCCCCTTGATTAGGGAACAGGTTAAAAAAAATGTAGTACATTAATGTAATGGACATTATAATGCTATAAGAGAAAATACATAATTAATACAGAGAAACATGAGAAGATTTACATAAACTGATGAAAGGGGAGTAAGCAGAGCCAGGAAGACAATATACACAACAACTAGAACAATGAAGAACAACATCCGCAAAACAACATGAATGTTTAGAAAACACAACAAACACATTTGGTCCCAAATAAGAAATATGAGAAGACTATGCACCTGCATCTTTGCAGAGGTTGGGGAGGGGTCCACGGATGTGGAACATTACATATAAAAACAAATTTTTTTTTCAACATTGTTGGCTTTGCTTAATTTTTTTTTATTCCTTCCTTCAAAAATTAAAATTCTTTGTAATCAAGAATGGCTTTCTGTGAAGAAAGTGAAGAAGGAGGAAATCTATGGAATATAAGAACAAAAGAAATAAGTACTAATACATTACTTAAAAAAAGAGTGATAGTACAAATATTTTACTGGAATCCATTGATGATTAAAAGAACTGGGGCAAGACTTCTAACAAATTGGGGAGATCTTCTTTGGGAGACTTATGGAAATGCATATATAAGAACTGCATGGGATGAGAAGACCAGGTTGGGTTGTGATCTGCACCACTGAAGAGTGCCAACTACTGATGAAATCATGTGATTCCAACTATGGATCAGCTATGTGGTATTCAATGTGTCTAAGGAAAAAACATATGAAATTTGGGTTCATAGTATATTAAAATTTTACATTTGAGTATTGGTGTAGCATAATAAATAGAAACCTTAGGTAATAAGTACAAGTTGTTAAAATATAAATTTAGATTTAATGTAAAGAAAAATATACTAAGAATTAGATAGACCTATCCAAAAGTAAAACAGGTTGCCTAAGAAGATAGCGATTTCCCCTTCTGTTTGTGGTCAAGCCAAGGCTGGAATACCACTTGTCAGGTACAGTTTAAGGGGAATCTTTTTTCACATATAGGCTAGATTGGGGATTCTTTCTAACTCTGAAGTTCTGTGATTCCATATTCTTGTGTCTGGCACATAACAAGCACTTAAAGCTTACTGACTTGACTCTTGAATATTTGAAAATTTTGCTTTTAAGCACCAAGACGTCTTACTGTAATTATTTTAAAGGATTATCTCTGAAACCTCCTACTCAATTCAACAACAAATGTAAAAATAATTTTTTTACACCAGAGAAGAAAAATCTCTAGCCCTTAAAAACACAAAAATAAATCTAATAAAATATCTAAAGAGAGAAATGTATATGTAAGTATAGATGTTAACAGTAAAATGAATACAAATTGTAAACAAAATACAAGATAACCTTTTCTTGTTTCCTAGATTTTTTCCATAACAGCTTAGTTCTATGTCATTGAATCACTTCTAAGAACAAAGGCACTCTGTTATCCAGTCTATATAAGATTTCAACAGAAAATGGTAGAAGAGGATATACATGGAAAAAACTAATAGCTTCACTGCAAGAGCTATAACTTTTGAAAAATAATAAAAGTAGATTTTTTTTTGCCACAACAGGAAAACCAAAAGATTCCAGATAAAATATTAACTAATAAAGATAATCTTGACCTCCCTAAATAGAATGATTAAGCAATCTTTGTACCAAAAAGTGTCACAAATTTCTCAAAAAACCAATTAATGTACTAGGCTGCTCTATTTTAATCTAACTCACCAAATAGTACTGAATCATACCTATAAAATATAAAATTTTAGAAAAGAAATAGCTAAAGGTAAAGCATTGCAGTAAAAAATGACATTTACCTGCTGAGCAGCTCGAGTCCAGCAGAGAACTTTGGCAAAGACTGAACAGTCCTGTCAAAATAAATATTTAATTAACAAGACTGCATTTTCTAATGTATGCTGTAACTACAAGAATTTTGGGTTTGCCATCCATGAAATTAAAATTTAAAAATCAATAACTGCTGTTTCACTAAACTTTAAGAGAAATAAATTATAGTATGGTTTTATTTCTGTTAGTATAATGTATACAAGTCACGAGCTCCCAAAGACATTGTTTTTGGTATCTAATAAATACTTCATTAGAACTGCAGTTACCAAAAGAAAATCTTCATGATTAAAGTATTTCTTCTTCAGGTTGGAAATGAAATTCAGACACATACTTTATTTTATTTTGAAAATGAAAAACATCAAAACCAACACTAATATGTTTTCATGCAATGTTTCCAAAGCTATTTACTTGCCAAGGGATATTTCTGTTTTTAATGTGCTTTCTCTAGTACAAAATTCCTCTTTTTGTTCTTAATTCTAAAATGGAAACTATGATAAATAATTATCAGATAATATTCACTAAGGTTCTCTGAAATTCAAGTAGAGAAAAACCTAGCAAAATAAATCTATGAAAACTGATCATTTATAATTTTTTTCTACTTCATCAGTAATTTTAGGAGACTACAGAGTAGATAAATTTTTAAAAATTGTTTTAAGCTGTATTTACCCAACATAAATCTCTCATATCCAGGAATCATAAATTTTATTGTACAACTCAGAGGTATCAAATCCAGCAGCAAAACTTGTGAGTACAGACTGACCCAGGTTAAAATATAACTGGGAAGTGTTTAACCAAATAAATAAAATATAACATACATAATGTTGATTTATGTTTTTTTAAGATAATATGCTGCCCACAGGGATTGGTTTCTACTTATGTCTGACATTACTGATATAACTTATTACTACTACAACAAAACATGTAAAAATTTAGTTGGGATGATAGTAAATTGGTTGGGTTAAAAGTAATTAGTGAACAGTATTATCTAAAAATAAACTTAAAACTCATGGATTCTACAAAAAAGAAATTTTAGCACAGTCATACCTCTGTTTGCTTTTAACTTTTGCTTCTCTTGACTTGTCACTTAAAGACTTCAGCCTATAATTAAGTATAAAATTATATTATTGTATTTTTGTATTACTTGCAAAGATAAGAAAAAAGCTTTTAAATTAGATATGCACAATACTGGAACATCACTATCTGATAAGTTGTCTAATTTTTAATTTTAAAAACTTGCATCTGTTTATAAACAGCAAACCACTCTTATTTCTGCAGAAAAAAAACTGTTATATTGTTCTTCCTCTCAGGTTGACCATTAATTTAAATTCCATTTTATTTTATTTTCAGCTCCAAATTCTCCCCTTCCCACACTGAGAAAGCAAGAAAAACAAAATCTGTTTCAAATGTGTATGATCAAGCAAAACAAATTCCCATATTAGTCATGTCAAAAAAAAAGAAAAAAGCCTCAATTTGCATTCTGAATCCATCATCTCTCTAACTGGAGGTGGGCAGCATGTTTCACCATGAGTCTTCTAGAATTGTCGTTCATCATTGTGTTGATTAGTTGCTAAATCTTTCAAAGTTGTTTGTCTTTATAATACTGTTGTTATCATACATAGTCAATCTTCAACTTTTGCAGGGGTAATGTTCCTACAAAACAGCACGAAAGCAAAAAACATGAATGTTGATACACTGAACCTATGGAAAATAGGGGATTGGGTTCCTGTGATCACCAGAAACTGTAATCTTTTGCTAAAGAGATCGCTGAAAATATACTTTTCTGCATACAATTCTTTATAACATAACATTAATTCTGATAATATGCGTTTTTCTTAACACAGTAATCATGAAATAACCCATAAAATGCAAAGGGAAGGAAACAACATCTAACAGGATCAGGAGGGACAGGGGCTTCAAAGTCAGAAGAATCTTGAGGTAAAAAAAGAAAAGGGACATCTGCCATCTCTAATCTCCCTTTTGGCTCTTTGCTTGAACTGCTCCTGATGAAAAGCACATGCCTCAGGGTGAGTCCCTAGCCCTGGTCAGAGCTCAAAACTCCTGCCCAGGGAGGCTTGGGGCCCAGCCTGGTGCAGCTCTCTGAGGAGCCCAGTGGCACAGGCAGTGGAGAAGGCAGGAAGCTTTCAAGTGCCAGTCAGAGGACAGGGGTGACTACCATTTCCTTTAGTCACAGACTTAGCCACTTTTCCATTGTTTTCAATTTTCTCCACGTGTACTTGTGAAGTTACTTAACACTTTTTGGAGTGCATTCATGAACACTTTTACAAATACTTTGCTCCTTTTTGAGAATATAAATTTGCATGCATTGTGCCTCTCATTTTTTTTTCTCTACTGTATCTGGTTGCCAACACAAAAGCAAAAATTAGGTTAGTAATAAAATCACCCAAATGCTTTAAGTCACGAAATTTAAACCCATGAATGTGGAGGGTTGACTATAAATTGTCCTTCAAATCCCATACACTTTACTTTGCATCAGTTCATACCAGTTTATCCAGGTTTCTCTGAAACCATCTTCATCATCATTTCTTACAACACAACAGTATTCCATCACATTCATACACCATAATTGGGTCACCTATTCCCCAACTGATGGCAGCTCTCAGTTTCTAATTCTTTGCCACCACAAAGAGAGCTGCTATAAATATCTGTGTATATAAAGGTCCTTTCCCTCTTTTTTTTGATCTCTTTGAGGTAAATATTTAGTAGCAGTATCACTAGGTCAAAGAGTATGAACTATTTAATAGTTCTTTGAGCACAGTTACAAACTGATTTCCAGAATGGTTGTACCAGCTCACAGCTCTATCAACAGTACAACAGGACCCCAGAACCATCCTCACTATCTTGCTGGTTCCTTGCCCACCTCTATTGGGGGGAAATGGACGTGAATAAATAAACACAAAAGAAATAGTAAGTAAACTCTGGGGAGGTAGGAGCGCTAACATGGGCAATAAGGAAAGGAAGCAGTTTGAGCCAAATCTGAGAGGGACCTAAAGGTTACAAGAGGTAGAGGTAAGAAGGGGGAGCATTCCAGACGTCAGGCACAGAAACAGAATGTTGAGTATCTGAAATGGCAAAAAAAGACAATCTTTGTGTGAAGCGGAATAATGTGGAAAGTCTGGAAAGATAGGCTGAAGATAGATTATGAAAGATTTTATATAGCAGAAGATTTTGTATCTTGTCATAGAGGCAATGAAAGCCACGGAAACTTCCTTAGCATGGGAGTGGCATGGTCAGATCTGTGTTTTACACACATCAATTTTTTGGCTCTGCAGAGAATAGAATGGAGAGAGCAGACTCTGAGGAAAGTGGAAGGGTTAAGCAAGGTATGGCAAAAGATAAAGAGTCTGAATGAAGGTTAGGGTCAAATGAATGATGGAGAATGCCTCTAGTCCATATGCAAGTTATTAACACTGGGTCCATGAACTTGTTTTTTAAAAAAATATTTTGTTAACTGTATCTTGATATAATTCCTCTTGTAATGCTATATATTTTATGTTTAAAAGTGTTGTTCTGAGAAGGGAACTAGAGGCTTCACCAGACTGCCAAAGAGGTCCATGGCACAAAGAAAATTAAGAATTCCGGTCTTAATATTTTATATCACCAGGAAAAGTAAATAAGTGGTCGCTAAGAAGATATCATGAAGCCTAATGTACACTATGGAGATGAAAATACTCAACCTTACCAAAATAACTGAATATTTTTAGATTGCTGCAATGATTTTTAAAAATTTTTTATTTATTTTTATAATTAATTTATTTTTAGTTTTCAACATTCACTTCCATAAGTTTTGAGTTTTAAATTCTCTCTCTCTCTCTTGCCCCCTCCCCAAGATGGCATGCAATCTGATATAGGCTCTACTTATATATTCATATTAAACATACTTTCACATTAGACATGATGTAAAGAAGAATTAGAACTAATGGAAGGAACCACGAGAAAGAAACAAAACAAAACAAAAAGGACAGCAAATAGTATGCTTCAATCTGCATTCAGACTCCTAAGGTCTTTCTCTGGATGAGGATAGCATTTTCCATCATGATTCTTTTGGAATTGTCTTAGATCCTTGCATTGCTGAGAAGAGCTCAGTCTGGCAAAGTCAGTCATCACATAATGTGGCTGTTATTGTGTACATTGTTCTCCTGTTCTGCTCATTTCAATCTGCATCAGTTCACGTAAGTCTTTCCAGGTTTTTCTGAAGTCTGCCTGTTCATCATTTCTTATAACACAATAGTATTCCATTGCATTCATATACCACAACTTGTTCAGTCATTGCCCAATTGATGGACATTCCTTCAATTTCCAATTCTTTGCCACCACAAAAAGAGCTGCTACAAATATTTTTGTACATGTGCGTCCTTTTCCCATTTTTATGATCATTTTGGGATACAGCCCTAGAAATGCTATTGCTAGGTCAAGGGGTATGCACATTTTTATAGCCCTTTGTGCATAGTTCCAAATTGCTTTGCAAAATGGTTGGATCAGTTCACAACTCCACCAACGATGCATAAGTGTTCCTTCTTCTTCTTCATCCTCTCCAACATTTATCATTTTCCTGTTTTGTCATGTTAGCCAATCTGACAGGTGTGACATGCTACCTCAGAGTTATTTTGATTGGCATTTCTCTAATCAGCAGTGATTTAGAGCATTTTTTCATGACTACAGATAGCTTTAATTTCTTCACCTGAAAACTGCCTGTTCATATCCTTTGACCATTTATCAATTGGGGAATGACTTGAATTCTTATCTTTATCTACAGTGATTCCTAGGTAGTAGTGGTCATGAAGCTGGTCATGCTGTCTGCGGCCTGGTGAGAACAAGCATGACCCTTTGGGGTCAGGACTGATGAAGTTATTTTGCTGATATCAAAACTGCATAGTTATTTGTGGGGCATGTCAGCACTCATCAGAGACAACATATGTTCTCCACTGACAGGCATCATTATAACAACAGCAACGGTTAGGATGTAGATTCACTGCCAATCTGAACTTTGCAGTAGTGATGCCATGTTACATTAGGTACAGAACCATGCAATCATCCCAAGCATGAAGCAACTATTCATGCTCAATTAGACTACTTGTACCAATTGGAGGTTTGTTCCAGCTAAGCAACAGCTATATCATCATGCACCTGACTGCCAGAGTCAATGCCACCTTAGGAAGGGGAAAGGCGCTCTGATCCATTAGTTTCTAGGATTCAGACTTGAGAAAGACTTACCCAATGAGAATGGGCTGCTTTTAGACAAAGTTCTCACTGATCCTCTCCAGCTCTTTCTTATTCCTTCCATAGGTCCCTTCTGAGCCTCAAGATCCTGTACTCCCTCCCCAAAGGGTTGTGTGCACCCTGGAAAATAAGCTCAGGTACCCCTCAATTGGCAGGCTTATTTTCTTCTGGGTGCCTTGCTTTCTAACAGCATGGAAAAAGTGAAATTGTTGCTATATAACTATGCTAAATACATATTTACTTGGGAGAAGGAGGATCCCTTACCTGACTAGGCAACAGTTTTCTGTCTCTAGATGAAGCTGAGGAAGAACCCTTATTAGCCTTTGTAGAAGAAATGGGCAGTTCTTCTGCAGAGACCTCTAAAAGGGCAGAGCTCTGGTGCCATCCCCATAATATGACTCCCACGAAAGGGGAAATTTTGGTGAATGAGTCAGAGAATACTGAATGAGTAGTTACTAAGTACCAGCAAAGTGATTACTAGTTACTAGATACTAGAAAAGCTTAGATCCCAAGACAGATTTCATGCAAGAGGATCATGATCTCTTAGGCACTTTACTAGAGATAATGCTGATGGAAGAAGCTTTTATAAAGTACCTGCTATGTTCCAGGCACCGTGCTAAATGCTTTTTACAAATATTATCCCATTTACAAGTATTACCTAATTATCTCATCTCTTCAGGAAAAGCACTTGTGATTGTGCCAGAGACAGCATAATCTATGTGCTTGCTTTGATGTTTTTGATACTGCTCCTACCCACTGTTACTATCTTACATCTGAAGACCCAGTGTAAACTGCAAATGTGAATTCAGCCTCAGCCACTTACTAAGTGGCTGGTCCTGGGCAGGTCAGAATCTCTCTCC